GAATCAGTGCCGAATTCTTCAGCAACTGTTCGGTGATATTCTCGTTGAAACACTGGTCGTAGAGGCCGTTGAATGCTTTGGCCAACACTTTGGACAGCACTTGAAGGCCGAGCACTTTCTGCGCGGCGAACGTACTCTGCAATAGTGTGTACAACTCGTCGGTGGTATAGCCGGCGCTGGACTCGTCCTCGCGGTGATGATAGAGCGCCGTCTGGACGCCACAGTCGGCCACCGTTTTGTCGATTAGATTACCCTCGAAATCAAATCTGGCATTCAGTGACTTCGCGGCCGCGCCTGCTGTGGACTCAACGCCGCTTCCGACGGCTGTGGAGGTGCTGTCACTCTCCTGTATGTCTCCCATCCATGACATCTTACTCTTCTCCACGACATCCATATTAAGCCATTTGTTGGTCACGACTTCCGACGGTTTGATCGGCAAAACTGTGTCACCAATAACTGTCTCTTCGGCAGCGGTCTGTTCGCCGCCGGAGACGGCAGTCATCTCCACATCCGTCGGGCAATCGGTGGTCGCGCTCGTCGTCGCCGTGTCTTTCGTGGCCTCCCGTGTGTCCAGTCGTTGCCTTCGGGCGGACTTCGACACCAAAAATTCGACAGACTTTTGGCTCAAACTCTTTAACAACTCCTTACGGGTCTCTTCGATCTCTTCGGGCGACATCTGTTGCAGTGTCTGGTGATTGTCCGCCCGAATGCGGTCGATATCCGCGCGCCAGTTGTCGACACCTAAGCCGTGACCGGAGACCACACTCGGCGGCGGACTCTTCGCACGCCTATCGCCGCCACCGACGGCACCGCTGGACGCCTGAGCCGACGATCGTCGGGCCATTTGCTGAGCAAACAAACTCTGGCCACTCTTCGGCACCAACTGATCGCTGCGGCGGAAGGCCTTCGGGAAACCTGTGGCTGTCGATGACTGCCGGCCAACCGTTGGCACAATCGTTGCCGACAACTGGCCGTAAAAGTCGGATCCATCGGCGCTGACATCGCGCTCGACAATAGTGGTCACAATCGGCGGTATGTCGTGATTGTCTGCAATGGTGTCTTCAGCCGGCGGCGGCTGTTGTTGAGACCCGTCATCGGCGGTAGACTTGTTGTTGTCGTCCAACTTCTGTATCTTATTGGCCGTCAAGAACTGCTGCTGTTGTCTGAGTAGGTCTTCGTGTGTCTCCCCTCGTTGTGGTCTCTTCAGCGACGATGACATGATGTCTGGTCACACACTTGTCTTCAGTCACTCTTACTCACGAGTTGTGGTCAACTTTTAGTGGTTATTATCATTGAATTGAATGCGAAATTCAATTGAAAATCACGTTTTGTTTTGGTTTTCAATTCACAAAACGTTTGCTTCAAAACACAAACACATGTTTTCACGTGTTTTTTGTAAACACTTTTGGATTAGAGTTTGCTTTTGTTGGCCAATAGAGGGCGCCCTCAGCACAGGTGGACATACTTTTGGTTAAATGCAATTTTGCTCACAATTGCCAGGGTGATTCTGTTTATTCTTAAGCCATGGTCAGTTTGAGTGTAATTTAATGATGTTTTAGCTAAATATAGTATGAACACCATGGTGATTTTAGGATTAATAATATGAATTATTTTATTTGTCATTTGTTAATAATTTGTATGATTTTTTAATGCATATTTATTTTTCAGGTTTTATCATGTTGTTAATTTTAATTGGCACTTTAATTGTGATAAAATAATATGTTTCGATATTTATTAATGATTGTTTAGTGTACTTAAATAATTGGAATTATATATATGTTTGAATAAATTCTATAATTTATTAAATAAAGTATTTTAAATAATATTTAATTGAAAACTCAGTTCAATAGCAAAGTATAATATCAATAAAAATTTACATCAAAATTAAAGCTAAACTATATTTTAACTGAGAATATAATAAAAACATTTATATAATGTATAAATAATGAGGTAATAATAAATTCTGTATGTAATTCAATGGGATATTTATTTAGACAATGTATTTGTAGTGCACTTAACGCTCAGGTACTGCAGAATCCCATTGAATGGCAAATGAAAAAGTTGTTTCGTGTATTGAATGCGTTAAATATAGTGTACACTAATCTCCCCATAGAGTGAACCAATGGTTATGTACTGTTATATTCGGTCACAATCTGTATATATATGGTGTATATATAAGAATATTCTGTTATATAATTCCCTTAAGAGAGTATCACTTTTATGAAAGAAATTCTGTGATATACAGAATATTCTTCATTGTATTATTGAATAGAGTTTTTCCTTATATACCAATCACTTGCACTATAATAAGGACTCTTTGTCTGTGTTTTTGGGAAGTGATATACAATGTCGAAGACATCAATGTTTGCGCACATCATTTAATTTTACCACTCTTTCAGACTCTCTCTCTCTCTCTCTCCAATGTTTATGTAATGTATGTCTTAGACAGACATCGAGAGAGAGAGAGAGAGAGAGAGAGAGAGAGAGAGAGAGCAACTGTTTGTGTGGAGTGAAAAAACCATTTGTTTTGTGTCTCTAAAGTAAATCTCTTATCATTAAATCATTCATTGATTCACTTAATACTAAAAGTCTTTTTTATTTTATCTCTTAAGACAACATAAGATTATATATATTTTATTTTCCATATAATTCTTGTGTTATATTTTTTTGTCTAATTTTTCCCTCTATTTTCTTCTCCAATAATATTCCGTTTGATTGAAAGAGTCGTTAAAATACGACAAACATTATAGCCATTGATATATCACTTCCCGTTTATCGTGTATTTTCTGCTGAATATTTTTTAAATTTTGCTATTCATTCATAACAAACATATGTTATATAAATATTTTGCTTTTAATTCATGGATAGAAAACCGGAATTTTTATGACCACTTAATTGTCGATAAATAAAGAGTAAGAAAATTATTGATAAATGTTTTAAACACGAAAAGTATCGATGAATTTATAATAAACCTATCGTTTAGTTGATTTGCAATTAGCTATGGAGAGAGAGAGAGAGAGAGAGAGAGAGAGAG